TTAAATTTATTATAATTTGTTATAAGTAATGATTACAACATATTCAAATCTATATATAAACCTTAGGACTAATTTATTCACGAAGTATTCTTGATCTAATTTATACTACCCCATTATAGTTTTCTGATTAGAGTTTATGCTACGACTATTATTGTTAGGTCATCATCACTATATTCCCTGTATCACTTATACTTATACAGAGATACTACTAGACAGGTACTATGGGTTACATAGGGCATTGTCAATTCTCATGGATAACTCTCTATTTAGTGTCTAGCTAGTTTCACTGCCTAACTCTATATCTCCTAGTTAGTATATTCATGACTAAAGCCTAGGCCTGCAACTTGTTACATCTTCTACAGATCATAGAGATGCCAGCATTTTACAAGGTACAACTATGTTCATATGCTGTGCAACTATCAATACCAGATACTCCTATATGTTGGTAGAGTACAGGCTATATTTCGCAACTAAGATTGCTTCTAACTAGATTCGTAATATGTAGTATTACTTCTAACTTGCATCTGTATTAGCTAGTGTTTAATGTTGGTATGCCCTTGTACTCAGATGTGTGATTGCACTACTAGCTCAGTGCTTCTTGCTAATTCGAGTTTTTACACATATTCTAGATAGTAGCCAACTCTCTATAGAACTAGGACCTTCTAATTCTAGCTTTCACATGTACCAGAGGTGTTTCATATCTAGTTAAGACAATCTTTTTCCACAGATTTCTATTATATTCACTGCTTCACTCATTACTCTAGCTCGTGTTACCTTCATATCACCTTCCCAAGCAAGTTCCTAACTGCTGGAGATGTTGGTGCTACCTAATCCTTTAAGGACTTATTCATACAACACTGTATAACAGAACCTGCTGTAACACTAACTATCACACATAATGCCAACTTGCTCTATAATATCGATCTCCTTCTAGGAATTCCTTTTCTGAATCTTGTACTTCACATAGGTTTTACCACAGAGCTTCGCATTCGATTAATAGTTTTTATAAGAATTACAGAAGCAAATGCCTTCAACTGAACTCGAACTATTGACCTTGTCTATAGAGGGTTGAGGACTTAACCAACTAAGCTATGGGACCCAACCCTTTAAGATCTAATTTTTTTATCTTCAAATTTTGCTAAGCAAGTATATTTAATATTTTTTTACTGTATCTAAACTTTTTCTTCTATTTTAAAATCTTTTTGTTTTTGTTATAATTTCTTTATAATATTTTTTATACTTTAGTAATATGAAGATAATTTCTTTATTAACTCATATACTTATTATAGTATACTGTAACTTAAATCTATTTTTTTATTTTCTATAGAATCTATAGATAGAATTGTTTTAATTAGTAGAATAGCTTGTCTACTATATAAGTTGAAATAGTATATATCCTGTTGTAGTATGTTTTTTTATTCAGTATGCTAACAATATAGCTGATATATATAGATCTTATTTATTAGTTTCTTTTACTTTAATAAAAGATTTATATAATATTCTGTTAAATCTTTTAACTATTCTATTTGTTTGAGAATAATAAGCAAATGAGAATTTGTATATAATTAAGAATTTTTTATATAAAATTCTAAATGTTTTACTTATAAAGTTTCTTCCTTGGTCTGAGAATATTATTTTTAGAGTTCTATATCTACAGATAATTTTTTTAAATATAAACTTTGCAAAAGTATTTGCTTTAGTATCAGAAGTAACTCTAACTTCTAGCTATTTCATTAAATAGTCTGTTGTAACTATTATATGGGAGGCCCCATAGCAAAAAGTGACTTTGAGATGTTTTAAAATTTGATCTTTATATAAATATATTCCAAGATCTAGAAATTGAAAACAAATAATTTTTATATTATTTAATTCCTCTCAATGAGAAGAATTAAATAATATAAAAATATTTGTTTCCAATTTCTAGATCTTAGGATATATTTATTTAAAGATCAAATTTTAAAACATCCCAAAGCCACCTTTTGCTATGGGCACCCCATATATTGATTATTTTGAGTTGTAATAGATAAAGATCCTACTAAGTCAATATCAATTCATTCAAAAACTCTTTCTACTTGAATTGAATATAAAGATTCTTTTCTTTTAGTCTTTATTCTCTTTTGACATTCTGTACAAGAGCATACATATGTTTAAATATCTCTATACATTTAGTTCTAATAGTATCATTCAACAATTTTATCATACATAGTGTTCATCTCTAAATATCTACTAGTTAGATATTTATACATCATGTATAGTACTAGCTCTAATTTAGTTGTTACAACTCCTTTTAATACTATTATTAGTGTTGCAACTTTTGGAACTATATATTATATTATTACTTTTGGAATTGTTATTGGTATTATCACTTATAGTATTATAGTTAGTGTTGCTATTTTTGTGTTATTTGATATTGTCACTTTTGTGTTATTACTTTTATGTAATTTGGTCATCATTTGTGTTGCTAGTGTTTTAGCATATATGCTAATATTGTCTAGTTTTTATGCATTATTCTAGATGTCTTGTGCTATTACAAATCATTATTACCAGGTAGTGTTATCGATTTTAATGTTGCTATTGAATAGTTTTTATATTATGTGGTATTAGCTTGTAAGTTTAACTTTCAGTAGATTTTATAGTCTTTCATTATGTTACTTCTTTTGATTGGTTTTTGTTTCTTTGATATTGATTTTTATGAAGTTTCGTTTGTTTTGCACATGTTATTGCTTTTAGTATTCTTGTTATTGTTATGTGACAGCTTTAAGGATAGAGTTAGAATTAGACTTAAAACATTCGTTGCTCAAGATTTTTTTAAAAATTTAATAAATATCACTTGATCGATTACAATAACTATGGTTACAGATAGGCTTGGTGTTAAGAAAAGGGACAAAATTGACAAAAAAAAAAAAAAATTATTCTTAAAAAATTAATTATCTCATGAACTAGTTCGCGAGATAATTAATTTTTTAAGAATATATATATATATATTTTTGTCAGTTTTGTTAACCTTTTATTTAAGTTCGATATAAAATTTTAACAAATATTTTTATGTTTTAATTATTCAGAGGTGTATCTTCACTAAAGTTCGAAAAAAAAACTGACTTTTTTTAATCAATCATCTTTAGATGACACAGGATAAGCTTCTGTACCCCTCTGGTATAGGATAAAGTGCCTATACCCCGGAGAAAGGATAAGGACGATCTTATGTAAATACAGTATATCCGTAAACATTATAACGATAAAAGGTATATCGAATCAATTTTACTTTATATAGCAAATTTTATTTCATTTATTACATTAATCATTTTTTAAAATGTTTACGAACTTTTCTAGCATCAATAAAATTACTGATAGCAACGGTCCAATTCTTATCATTACCATTACTTTCAACTTTTGAAGTAGGAAATTCTTTTTTAAGATATTCTTCAATTTCTTGATGAAATTCACGTAACATATAAAACCCATTTCGGGAGTAACCAATTCTCTTTGCATCAAAAGCAGCATCACCCTGATAAAAAGCAGGATCTGTACCATCAGCAAAATATTGAATTACTATAGGTGCACCTAAAAAATTTTTAGTAGCTTCTATAAGTAATGATCCAATGTCTTGTATGAATTTTGTTAAAATATTTGCAGCAGATTTGCAACTATTATCAAGATTATATTTTATATCACTTCGATGAGATGGTAGCAAAAGCAATGAATATAGATAAAGAGATTATTACTTTAGCAAGGCAATAGCGTACAGCACTAGAAAGAGCTGCCTTTACAGAAGAGATAGATAAAGTTCAATTAGTACTAGATAGAGAACAAAATACAAAGAACATGCAACAAGAAATAATAAATGAAATAACAAATGAGGTAGAAATACGAATAGAAACACTTCTACTAGCAGAAACAAGAATCATCATACAAATAGAAGCTTCAAAAGACTCAATACAACCTATACTTTCTCAAAATGAAAATAATGATATATCAAAAGGTGTAAAAGCAAATGAGATAACAGAAACTATGGAAGATATTTAGCTAGTAGAAAGTAGTATAGAATTCTGCTCATTAAAAGACGAGATAGAAGAACGATTAGAAAGATTAGTCGAAGCAGGAAAAACAAAATTTGGTAGTTCATCATTAGAATGTAGCTTATGGGTACTGAAATCAGAATCATGCAAAGACAAAGGAGAGTTCAAGGCAAAAGTAGCTGTAGTTAAAATTCTAGAGGATAACACAGAACAAAGAGAAAAGTCAATCAGATGGGCACTAAGGGAAAATAAACATATTAAAGCAATTCAAGAAAAATTTGCAAACAGAAACCAATAGTACATCATCTATTTCGACTGCAAGAAGGGATATAAAGAAGCTAAAGCAAGACTAGAAAAAAAGAAAGATGAATTTGACCAGCTGAATTTAATACTAGAAGAAAAAGCAGAAGAAAAAAGTCCAAAAAAAGAGAAAAAAACTGTACACGTCCCTAAGGAAAAAAAAGAAATAAGAGAAAATCAAGCAAGGCTCGAGCTTGAGAAAATACAAAAGAGAAGAGCTATTTTATACAATCAAGTTGAAGAAAGTGAATTTTCAACAAACAGTGAGAATAAAAAAAGAAAGAAAGTCATAACTGATCAAGTAACAGAAGACAAACCAGTTCTTAAAAAAGATAAAGGGAAAAAAAGAATGTACGAGCAAGGAACTCTTGTCGAGGAAGAGAGAAACTCTGGAAAAATCAATTCTTAAACAAAGAAGAAAGATCCTTTACCAAAACAGTAGTAATGCTTTGCTTTTGCAGGCTTTTTGGATTGCACATAGAATGTTGCTGTTCTTGAACTTTAGCCATTCTTGTACCTTTCCTTTTTCAAATATTTCTTAACTACAGAGATTACACAGGCACTATCTGTTCTTATTTCTACTATACACTCATTTGGTACCAAAAGGATTGCTACTAAACAAGCTATTAGCTCCGCTCGAATAGATGAGAACCAGTTTTCAATTCTACCTTTGCTTCTAAACACTATATTATTTGTGTTATCTACTTGTACTATACTATATTCTATTATTAACTTACTCCCCATATCCTCCCTACTGAGTGAGCCATCTATATAAAACACAATTTCTTTTTCTCCTTTGTTTGCTTCTAATCTATCTTTTAATTCTCTTCTTGTTTCTATGTTTTGTATGATTTGATTAATTAACTCTATCTCTCAGCTTCTTTCTATTTCAATACGTTCTAAGTTCTTAAACTTTTTGTATTCTTCTGCCTTGCTTTTCCTAGTATCTTTTCCTATTTTTTCTAAGTAATCTTTGTTAAATATTACCTGTGGTATATTATCTTTTTTCCGTATGAAGCTTGAAATATTGTGTACTTCTCTTAAAGAAGTTCTTTGTTTTTGATCGCTTCTTCTTAGTTTAAAGCCGTCGTCATATACTCTTGCTTGGCTGCCTTCCTGGAAAATATTTTCACTATCTTTTTTCCAGATTTCGACTTCAACTAGCTTCTTTTCTTTTCTAATAATACGTCCAAACTCACTCTCCTTGTTTTCCTTTCCTTTTATGAGGACCTATTCTTTTTTCCTCTTATCACGTGAGTTTTTCTTTTCTGTTTCTTGTATCTGGAAGCCTTTTTTCTCTCTGTAATCTTCTTTTACTTCTCTTGATTCCTGGTTTTCTAGTATTTCCTCCTCTAATACCTTAAACCACTTTGCTTTTTTACCTATATGTCTTTTTCCCTCTCTTATTTTGAGTTGTCTCCAGGTAACCATTTTCTTCTGCTTATCGTCTAGGAGTTGGTTTATATACTATAAATTGAGTTTACTTATTCCTGTTTGTACTTCCTTTACATTACTCTTATCGAGAATATTACTAATTAAACAATTTTCTTCTTCTTGTATATTTGCGAAGTTCCATCTTTCTGTAAACTCATTTTCTGCAATACTTAGCTTTAGTTTTTTTGCGTGTTGCAGTACTTCAGCTCCTAGGTTTTTGTATTTTGTTTTTTTCTACTTCATATTCTTAGATAATAATATACACTCTGCTATACCCATGTCAAGCTATGACTGTTTTAATCTTATTATTGTTGTTATGCCTACGATTCCGTTGGAGTTTATTCTTATGAAAAGCTCTGATATATGGTGTTAGATATGTTTTTGCTATAAGCTTACTACTCCAAAAATCTCTTTGTACCAAAGGGTTGCATTTGCACATGTCAAAGGAAGCTCAAGTTTCCATTTTATGAGTCTAAGCATCAGTTGATGTATTGAATCACAAGCTTTTTTCTTAAGGCATACATTAGCTAGGAGGTATTCAAGTTTAGGAAGAAGTACCATATTGTTTATATAAGTTATCTGGCTCGCAGAAAGCTTTTTGTGTCTTAAAATACAAGTTATCTTGCCTACTTTTTTTTTGCAATGAAGTATGCTTGTTTTCTCTTGCTTTTTTAAACTTATCTATACTCCCAGGAACCTAGTACTTTCTTCTGGCTTCTTTACTTTGACTTGGCTAGGTGGAGTTCCAATTTGTATAAAGGCTTCTTCTGTGCTTTGCTTATATAGTCTCCAAGCTATTGCTTCAGATTTTGTACTGTTTATTTCGATATCATTAAGTATAAAAAAGCTATTTGAGACTTGAATAATTTCTTGTAGCGCTATTTTGGATTCTGCTACCCACGTAGTATCATCTGCATAAGCAAGTGCTGAAACCATAGCCTTTTCAGTTTTGAATTTTCTTTTCTCATTGTCTATTGGCCATTGGAGTTCTATCTTATAGCCTATTCCTAGTTGCTGTATTCTTACTAGTAGTGGGTCATAAAAGATTTTCTATATTAATGGTAAGATTATTTCTTTTTAGTCTATACTGTCACTAGCTACAAAAAAATCAGTTAGGCCTTCATCTGTTATTACTCTTATTTTGTGATCTTGGAATATCTGCTTGATAAAAGTAATTAGATTTGCTGGTAATTTAATTCTTCTTATCGCAAGTTCTAAGGTGTATATACTAACTGAATCGAAGGCTTTTCACATATCTTGAAATGCTATCCATAAATCTTTTTCTTTTTGAATTGCATCTTCGATAATATTATTTAGTACATGTATAGGTGCTATGGTACTTTTATTAGGGAGTTCTGTGAAGTTTGCACCTTTTAGAATATCTTTTTTAACGAATACCTTGCTTAGTCTTTTTTGTACTATTCTGACTACAAGTTTTCTAAACGTCTCAAGTAGCAATATTGGCCTAGTGCTTGTCAAGTTAAATTTCCAATTTGTGCTTTTAGGAATTAGATATGTTTGTTCTAGCTTCTACTTTTTAGAGAACTTTTCTTCGCATATTATTTGGTTTGTGAATTTTATAAAATGCTCTTTTATTTTTGCATTTACTTTTTTAATAAGCTTGTAGCCAATTCCTGAGATAACAGGTGCTATATCTTCTTTTAGCATATTTGTAACCTCTATCCATTCATCTTTGATTACTTTGCTTATGATATTTGTATACTAGTCTTGATCAATTCTTCTTTATTCTTTATAAATTTTTGCCCATTCATCGTTTATTTGTTCGAACTGATAGTTTCTTTTTCTGAATTGACCTTTGAAATGCTTTACTACTTCTCTTTTAATCTCATCACTTTCTGTAACTAATTTCTTGTTCTTGAATTTATCTTTGCTCTG